AAAGCTTAGCCAAAGAATTGGTGTCTTATGAGAGTTCGCAGCTTCTTAGCTATCTCCGTCAGAAGAACATTGCATTTTTTATTTATTCAGTCGTTATTGGACTATTGCTGTATAGTATGGGGAAATACAAGTCAAATCAAATTTATGTCGGGTGTATAAGCTTCAGAAAAGGGCAGTTCATGTGATTTCCTCTGACAACTTCAGCCAATCGTCGTTTGAACTGTTCAAAAAACATAGTATCTTGCCAATCGATTACAGAATTTTATATTTTCTAGGTATCGTAATGTATAAGGCAACCAATGGCTTGGCGCCTTTATATATAAGTGAAATGTTCAGTCCTATCTCCCAAACCCACAAGTATAGTACACGTTCCTCTCTTAAAAATAATTTACGCATTACTAAATGGAAAACATCCATGGGTCAGAGGACGTTTCAGTATAGAGGGGTAACCCTATGGAATAACTTGCCATTTCATATCAGAAATTCAGCCTCTTTGGGCATTTTTAAGAAAACTTACAAAATTTATCTTAGCGAAAAATTTGTTGTAAATTGCTCAAGCCTATAGTGTGTATATTGTGTTTTTTGTCCCTACAGAGGGCCCAATGAAAATTACTTTATTGTATATTGGCCTACCCTCTTTAAATAAAGTGTTTAATAAAATTAAATAAATAAAGTGATTGACAGATAGAATGATGTCATGACATTACCATTCAATCGCAAGTCAAGGGAGGAAATGCAATATTTACTCACGACTTTCATCAGAGTTTTGCTGAGAGATGTGTTTGGAGAATCTTTGACAAGATCTTTGTTGTATATCCTGAGAGTGTACTGACATTGACTCACACTGCCTTCAAGAAAAAACATGGAAATTTGTAGTTCTGGAAATGGATTGATAGGCACATGACGACCGAATATACAAACATACGTGTGACATTTAAAATCCCACAATTTGACCTTTCCCTGCAGATGAGCTCTGCCTATATGTAAATTTTACTACGTCATCCAGCTGCATGCGTAATCAATAGCAAAGCTCCACCTTTGGCCTAAAACAATTCTCTCGGCGTTACCGTTTTCGCTTGAATTTTGCAAACACATTATAGCATTTGATTAAATCATTTTAGTTGAAAAAAAAAAACATTAGGCCAGAGAGACTGTCAACAGTCTATGGCTATTGGGTGTTTAACCTTTTGAACACTAAGTCAACATTAGTCACCTTTTACAAAAAAAAAACAAATACTAAATTTTGTTCATATTTTTCAAAAAATTTGACCAAGATCTGTAGCCAATGAAAAATTGAGACCATCTGGGCCAAAATAATGAAGAATTGATTGAAAAATACACAAATATGTGTAAAATGTTATAAAATTGGGGTGGGAAAAATGGTGGCATTCAAAGGGTTAACAAAAATATATTTTGTGCCCGATGTCTAAGCAGTAAGCTAACTTGAATTCCCCTGTACATGTATGTAATGGTGTCTTTATAGGGTTACTTATGTGGGGCGCATTTTTGACTATATGCCACTTTTGTGTATGTGAAAATCAGACTTACGCGTGACATTAAAATACAGTTGATACATCTTTTCCACGCATAACTACCCTGTAGAAGCCCCCTTACATACTTCTTTATTAGTTACATGTAATATATTCACCTTTAAAATTAAATGTTCTCAGAATTGTGATAACCTGCCCACAACATAAGGTTCAAAGAAACATGTTCGCTACAAGACAATATTTTTTTAGTAAAACATACAAATATGTAGTAAATCATCATATTATTAGCTTATACTCTTCTTTCAATGTGATTGGTCAGAGAGGATTCTGTACAAGCATGTTTTTTTTTCACCTTTTAACCTTTAACCTTTAAAGTGCTAACCTGTAAATATTAAATATAAAGACTGAAGGAAATACTGTATTTTTGCTTTTGGAAATATGAAAACAGGACACACCCATGTTTCATGTGAACATAACGCCCATACCCAGTACGTGTCAAGATGGTGTTATGAGATTCTGTTACACTACAATATTATATGTCGCTGTCCATACTTGGCTATTCTATGACATCACTGAGCTTGACGTTTGAGTTCCGATGACTGTCCTCAGTGTGAGATGTCCTTCTACTTGTGGTAGTGATCACATGTTTACTCAACATTAAACAAATGTATAGCAACCTATATATTGAATAGTTATTTTAAAGAACTGCTGTTCTCTTATTCTGGAGTTGCTTTAAAATTTCTGGCAAACGTTTCAGCGACTATCAGTGGGAGTACCAGGGTAGCATCAGCATAAATCTTTGAAATGAATAAAGATAACATGCAGGTAACATTAGAAATGCATAGATTTATGTAATACCAATGACAAAAAAGACAGGCAGGTATTTAAAATGTATATCCAAATTCTTCAAACATTTTTCATTTTAGCTAGAAGCATTTATACATTGTTTCTGCTATTTTCAAGTTTCAAGCTATTTTAGTTGTCCAGGATTACATGTACTTCAAAGTTGAGTTTGTTCTGTTTTTTTTCAAATTTATCTATTTTCACTGGCACCGTTCCACAGCAGCTCGCCCAGAGCCCATAGAAATACATGGTAGAGTGGTGCGAGTCTTAGCAACGTGGAACGTCTTGTGACGTAGATCCGTCACCCGAGGGTACAAACTCACTGTAGTAACTCATACTTTAATCAACAAAATGTTACCTTGACAGGCGTTGCTGTTTTCTTTATCTTCCCCCATGATATGGCCTCATCCGGTCGAGCACCGGAATCAGATCCATCAAACTCACTGGCGGTGTTGATGTACACGGCGTAGTCAGCTCCATTGCGCTGTCAGGAATAGATTAAACATTAAACACTATAGAATTCTAATGAGCATAGTCGTCAGGACGAAGCCTTACAACTCCAAGATGGCGATAACCTTACACCGTAAATAGGCAGTCAAAACCAACGTGCACGTTACATTATTTAATTTTTCTAGCCAGCGGTGTGATGTGTGTTACAGTGTTCAATCACCGTAAACCATGTGTTATTTGTTTGGTCCCACAATTTGTCTTCCATGTGCTTGCCGATCACCGAACAGCATGTCACCGGTACATAGTGTTTACACACTTTTTTTTTTACCGTACCATTTTTACCATTTAAATTATTTTTTTTATATGTCATGCAGTGAACATCGACCATTGGGATTCGCGCTGTTCGACCCACCAACCAATAGGAATCGTGCTCTTCGCAGAGTGACACTGCGATCACGTCACAGAGTGCAATAATCGACATTCAGCGAGTTGCACAATCGCGTCGCAGAGTTAGTTTTTAGACCCCAATACATACATGATGAGCCTTTGCATTCTTAGCGTGTGTTGTTATCATCGTTTGGGACTCAATTCCCACGTGTGCGCAGGTGTCGACCCTCCCGCTTTAACTAAGCAAGCTACATGTAAATAATTGTCTTCAGGCATATTTTGTGGTATTCAGGTAACAATCTTATACTGTAAATGTATTAATTTTTCACTGGGTTTTAATTCCGCTATTTACGCTAATAAATAAAATTCGCTAAATTAAATCCATTTGAACACTTAAAAAAACAGTAGAATATAAAAAAGGCTTGAAAATCAAAATAGTGGAATTAAAATGCTAGTAAAAATAGATGGTTTTACAGCATACCGGTACTTACCATTAGATTAGCGTTACATATGTGGTGTTTCATAAGTCCACCTCCCACTATTATCATCCCAGTGTTGATTGCATACACAGCTTGACTGTTCATTCTACGAATATCTGGAACATAAACAACAACAACAACAACAACAACAACAACAATATTCAGTGTTGATTTAAAGTGCATATTTGTTACCGTCCAAATTTTAGTGCAAAATTTTTCTAATATCAAATTTTCAATTGTACATACATACCTTCCACAATATCCAAAACTAATCCAGGATTTTTATAGGAATGAAAATAAATCATGTCACCAATAGAACCATCAGTCAATGCTGGACTGAAAACTGGGATATTATTCTGAAAAAATATTTCATAGTTATGTCAAATTTGTAATTTAAATATGAGCCACTCACAGGTAACCATGACAACAAATAACGTGTGGAACATTGGGAGCATTCAAAATATCAGAAATAGAAAAGTTTAGTGGTTTCTATGATACGGTCTGTGCATCACATTTTTCAAGTGTGGATTGAGTTCACCATTGACAGACATGTACTCTCAATGCTATCAGTCAGATGACATTTTACTCTCAATTTTTAGATGAGTGGTGTTTACAGATAAGGTATGTTATTCAGTTTTTCATTTTCACCAGACAGAAGATTATATAAAAATATATGAAAAAGACAGACTGCCCTGGAGTACATTGTGTGAATGGTGTCGTATTGGTTCTTTTAGACTAGCAAAGTCTTGAATTCTTTTTTGTTAATTGTTCATTTAGTCCTTTTAGCGTCATTGCGAAAACTAACCCGACTGCTAAAGAAATCCCGACTGGACGCATCTGCGGGCATTTGACTGCTATTAATTATTCATGATGTCATTGATTATTCATTAGAGGGTGTGTGAAAGCAAACATGAACTTTTAAAGGTTGATTCGATTCGATCGCAGAGATGGATACTGTAACTTTCTAAGTGTGAAGGCGATACTTTCATCTATGTATACTGAAAACAATTTTAGTATTTTTGAGTTGGACATGTGATATTCAAATTAGCCTGTTGCCGAGATTGATTTGGTGCATTTGGTTGATGCTTGGTAATGCATATACACCCGCGTTTATTTGAGAGTCTGCTTACTCTACTGTTTTTTTCAAGCTCAAATACTCAGAATTTCTTACAATATACGTATGCACACTGAATTTTAACAAATTTATATTATGCCTTGCTTCAAATCAAATTAGAAATTAAAAATTCACTTCTCATATTTTCACATTTTGCAAAGGCAATATAAAATGGATGCCTCCAAATACAAAATCAACACGTTTGGTACCAAACTGAATCTGAAATGTTAACATCTCCACACAAAACATAATTATTATTATATACATGTGTCACCGTAACGACATAAATTACAGCGTATCGTAATTTTGTGGTATTTTACGGGATATTTTCATCCTACCATATTAGGAATTTCAAATACAAAATAATTTCGTGCGTAAGCATTCTCTAATAATAAAAACCAACATGGCTGCCACCAGGGTTTGACCGGACTCCACACAAAGAAGTTCACTGATTCTGTTCTAAACTTTTTAGATTTCGGCATTCCCATGATGTATCCTTGGAAGGAAAAGATGTATAATAATAAGGTTATTATGAGGATACCTCAAAGTATGCACTTAGACAGTTTGCCGTCGCATCGACCTCCGCTGCGTGTTGTTGGTTACTCCCATTGTACTGTATTTGTGCATACTTTTAGGTATCCTCGTTATAACCTCATATTATACATATGTCATCCTACCAACATAGTAAAACATGAAATGATTCTTCAGAATTGCACTGGGTATCTTTGCATCATTTTTGGGAATGCAAATTCCAAATATGGAATTATGTAATAACCAACTGACACATACACATCGTAGCCTGCACAATGCACAATATATTATAATAATATTTTCACCAAGGTGACAAAGCAAAACAGCTACTGATGCCAAAAGCGATAATGAAATTAACAAATTATACAAATCATATCATGAATAAACAAGTCTCGTCTCAGTTTCACTCGCCTTATATGCCCAATAATAAATAGATTCTGGGTTGTCAATTTCTTTACCGAGCCTTGCAATCATTGTAGAAGGCGTCCATTTAATTCCCTGTAAGGAAAAATCAAATATATTAAGTAAGTTACTGACAGAACCATGAAAAACAACTCTTCCCTCCAATTTGTTTTTTCCGTAATTAGGTAATTAGGTATAGAAAACCCCTCTCTGAAAACTTGAATGAATTAACACATATAGTGTCTTCCCAGTTGTATACATGTGTCTGTCTTATACCTCTCACATGCCCAAATTTTGTCTCAATTAAAAATACTGCTATTTGAAAACTAAACTTATATCTCGTGCAAAATTTCACCAAAAGGAGCTGTAAAATAAACTTGACTGAATTGAGTCCTAAGCGACGATAAGGCCAGACTTTTATTATCCCTTGTTTCGCGAACCCGTTGAATGAACAGGAGCCGAAAATGAAATAAAAATAAAATTTTCTTTTGGCGTAACAGTAATTTCTCGCGCCCACCGACTTGTAAGTGCAAAAACTTGCTAAAAAAAAATTTATTTTTATCTTCATTTTTTTTTCGCCCGCCGCATAAAATAAACCCAAGTTGCATTTTCGTGGGAGTATCATGATCAAAGTACCGAAGTCTCACGCAGATGAGAACAAGGTTATACATGGAATAAAATTGTATTTCATTTCTTCTTTCCGATCAATGATCTCACTTACAATTCTTTGAGAATCACACAAATCTAATGGGAAAAATAATATTTTTGTTTTTTTTACGCCCTCCTAAAAAAATTGCCTTGTAAAAACTCGGGAAACAAGGAATAAAAAAAGTCTGGCCTAACAACGCCTAGTAAAAACACTGCTCATGGGTAGATGCTTGTTTGTTAAGCAACGACACGCTTCATTGTCGCTTTAACTTTACACATGTAAAATTATTTCTGAACACGTTAAAATCACTCCCATACACTGCCTCATTGCTTTAAGCTATTTTCAACTCTCCAGCCATTTTCAAAAGGCAAACACAGAGACTGATTTTTGACAGATATCTCCATATACAGGAAAATGATACATGCATCGTACTTCATAAAACATTTGCAATCAATAAGCAAAAACACATACATTCTGCTACTAGTATTACATTCATGTACGCATACATTCTGCTACTAGTATTACATTCAAGTACACATACATTCTGCAACTAGTATTACATTCAAGTACACATACATTCTGCTACTAGTATTACATTCATGTACACGTACATTCTGCTACTTGTATTACATTCATGTACACGTACATTCTGCTACTTGTATTACATTCTTGTACACATACATTCTGCTACTTGTATTACATTCTTGTACACATTTATTCTGCTACTTGTATTACATTCTTGTACACATACATTCTGCTACTTGTATTACATTCTTGTACACATACATTCTGCTACTAGTATTACATTCATGTACACATACATTCTGCTACTAGTATTACATTCATGTACACGTACATTTTGCTACTTGTATTACATTCATGTACACGTACATTCTGCTACTTGTATTACATTCTTGTACACATACATTCTGCTACTAGTATTACATTCTTGTACACATACATTCTGCTACTTGTATTACATTCTTGTACACGTACATTCTGCTACTTGTATTTATACATTCTTGTACACATACATTCTGCTACTTGTATTACATTCTTGTACACATACATTCTGCTACTAGTATTACATTCAAGTACACATACATTCTGCTACTAGTATTACATTCTTGTACACATACATTCTGCTACTTGTATTACATTCTTGTACACGTACATTCTGCTACTTGTATTACATTCTTGTACACATACATTCTGCTACTTGTATTACATTCTTGTACACATACATTCTGCTACTAGTATTACATTCATGTACACATACATTCTGCTACAAGTATTACATTCATGTACGCATACATTCTGCTACTAGTATTACATTCATGTACACATACATTCTGCTACTAGTATTACATTCTTGTACATATACATTCTGCTACTTGTATTACATTTATGTATGCATGTGTATTTAATGTTGTAAGTCTCCCATTTCTTTAGTTGTATACCTTGAGAACCACCGTATTGGAGGCAAGTCTCATTACTGTTTGGTGTTAATATTTATTTAAAACAACAACTGTTGGGCAAAAGAACCCACAGTGCCTCTCATGTTATTCAACTGATGTGTGAGTGAACAGCACACAGGGGACCCTGTGACAACAAAGCTCTGACCGTTAAACATAAGGTGTCACACCACAGAGAGCATTGTAGTTGTAGATGCACTCTGAGTGGGATATTTTGAATGTGGTGATTAGAACAAAACAAAATATATTCATGAGCATAATGTTACGCAAATGAGCCACTTAATATACATGGATATGCATACAAAATTGTTATTCCAATAAAGCAGGGATTGCATCTGCTAAGAAATTGGCATCCTGCCCCGAGAGGTAAATATTTGTTGCAAATAAACACAGAAGTTCTCACCTGTGTTTTTTGTTCTAACAACATTTGATCCAAAATGGGAAGTATCCAGTTTTCAAATTTACAGTAGTTATCATTTGGTACAAGAAGATTGCCAATTCTATTAATCCCCTTTTCACGCAGCATTCTTCCAGACAGCTGAAAATCACCAACATATGTGGGTCCTAAACACTTGATAAGATCTTCTTCAATACCACCTGCTGTTGTCACCACACAGTCTACCTGCAATTAACAATTATTTCATAAAGTCTGATATCCTTTCTGGCACTTAAAGTTTTGTAACTGTGCAGTCTCATTTGAACCAATTCACATATTACCTAAAAATATCTTAATGATGTGGCCAATCAGAATGCATCTTATCAAACTAAAGTACGGTAACATTGTAAGATGCACTATGATTAGTGACAAATACAAGATGTGAATACTCAAGACGTCTGAGTGCCAGTACCTTGGGTTGCTCCAGTTTGTTGACTCATTCCTTCATCTGGGAAGTCTTGTATTTTTCGATGAACTTGTCTCAGATAACCCTAACTCTAACCCTAACCCCACATTCTTCCAATTTAAAATATGCGCCATCTGTCGGGAAAAATCACCTTTCTTTTTTCAAAGCATTATCAAAATTGCATTGTTTCATGAACTTGATATAAACATACTCCCAACAAACCTAAGCTTGTGTCAACCCTAAAGATTATTTGACCTTGATAAAGTATACAGATCTAAATAAAAGCACCTCTGAAATATCTTTAAAATAGTTGAATGTTGAATTGCCAAAGAGCGTACACTGGAATATACATTCACTGAATAGGATCTACCAAGGTGAAGTGGTGAGCCAATAGCTTCAGCAAAGCGCGGTAGTCGTCGCGCTGCACATGTGCAACATTTGTGTTGATAAAAATTGATGTTCCCACAATTCATTGCACTTTTCTAATGGAAATCACAAGTACAAGGTTTGACCTGGGCGTGACTTGCTTTAATTACCTCCGATGACTCCTTCAATATGTTCCAATCAACTAATAGAATACCTAATTAAGGCTTGGTAACGTCTCAGTTTTAGCTTGTTGAACTGTGCAATAGTCAAAGTCGCCATCTTTGTTGATATGAGAACCATATCTCGCGCATGCATGGCGCGACGACTACCGCCCTTTAACTTGACAGAGGAAGATGCTATTTGCCACAACAGTTTTCATTTTCAGATTAATTGAAATCCTATCCAATAATACTCACCATATTGTGCTGTACAAGGTACCTTATTGTTTCTCGAACACCACATGAAACCAAATTTGAAGTGTATCCTAAGAATATTGTACAGTTAGTTTTCTTTCTATTACATGGATTCAACGACTTGTACGTATCAGCTTGTTCCTGGTCTTCGATTGGTTCAGACTTCTTTCGTAACTGAAATGACAACCATTTTTTTCTAATTTTTTGGGGTTAACAATGAGCACGTTTAAAGCCGTATTGTTATTGCACATTCACAGCATATTCCATATCAGTTCACAAATTTGGCAGAGAAACATTTAAGTTTTATTGTCAATTTTGCATGGTTATGGTTGAAATTAGCAGATTTTATTCATCAACAAATATAACAAAATCAAAACCCTGTAAATTATTAAAGCGTGGGAGTCGTCACCTGCGCATGCGTCAGATAACCATAGTGTGTCGTTGTTTACAAACAAGCATCTACCCATGAGTCCTTGCGTTTTTAGCGTGTGTTGTTATCATTGCTCGGGACTCAATTCCTGTGTGTGTGCAAGTGACCACCCTCCTGCTTTAATGTATTCCTATCTAAGCCAAATATACATTGCTAATGATAATGATATATGAATTGCATCGAACGACAAATACCATGGCTACACAAAACTACTTCCTAGTGTGAAATAAATTCTAATTATATTAGCTACTACAGGTTTCTCACCATTTTATTGATTTCTTCGACTGCCAATCCAAAGTTTGTCGCTTGAAAACCTGAAGTTTTATAACTTTCCAACAAAGCATGGAAGTCAATGCCTTTATTGAAGTCATAACCTTTCACCTTTACTGAATCTGATGGCATTTCGTCGCTTTTCACCAAGACGGCGTCAGTGGCTGTGGATGGTGCCGCTGCCATGCTTCGATCTGCAGCTGGTAAAACTTATCGCTATAAAACAGAAACAGGAAAGATAAAAATTAATAACATAATCAAAGAAAGCTTAGAAAGAACTCCCATGTGCTGAGAGTATTGGAGACACATTAAATATAATTCGAAATTACTTAGCTGAAAACTAATTATGCAAATCAGAAAATTAATATGAACAGATTTGAGTGTAAAACTAATGAGGTCTGCGCAATGTAACAGAAAATCTATGTTTCCAAGTTTAATTGAAATGTGATTAGAACCAAAAAATTATGAATTATTATGCTTATTAGGGAATTAATATGAACAGATTTTTACCCCAAACTAATTAGGTTTGTACATTGTCCTAGAGCATCTTTTTACTAAGTTTCATTGAAATGG